ATATATATATATATATACATACACACACACATATATACATATATATATATATATATATATATACAAAAACCACACACACACACCAACTTCTGCCCAAAAATGGATTTGTAAATTTGACTAGTAGTAGGATATTCCATATAAAATGCAATTTACGCCAAAGGCATGCCACTGAACACAATGCATTATTTGAGTATTTGAGATGTTGTGGAAATGACACTGTAATTGGAATAGACTTAAAATTACAGGCTTCTATTTTAAATAATTTTAAACTGAATATAGTCAGCAGACAAAAAGTAAAAAAGCAAAAAGAGCTTTACGATATTTTAATTTCTAAAGGTCCACAAGGTCAAAAGAGCAAAAAGTTAAAGGAATGCTCACTTATGGCATCTACTAGCAGTTGACTAGCCAAACCTTGACCCATTGGATCCACACAGATATGAGACCTCAACATGCAACCATAAAATCATAAAAATAGAGTGCAGAGAAAGGCCTGCAGGTAATCAAACACAATCTACACTGTTGAGTTTATGGTGCACTGCCCTGTATGTCGTAAAGTCAATAACCTCTTGAACTGCTAAAGCTCTTTCATATGTGCTGTAGCACATTTCACAGCCCCTGGTGCTGTCAGTCCTTTCCTTTTTCTGACAGAAAAATGGCTTCTACAAATACTCAAACAAGACTAGAAACATCAGAAAGAGCTGTGCCAGGAGACCAGATCCCAAAGTACCTACGACGGTGAAAAATGGGGCTCATTTTCAACACAAACCAAAAACTATCAGCTGAATCTGACTCATAAACCCTCAAACAAACTGCTTCACGAAACATCCCAGCCTACATGATCAAATCACACATAAACGAGAAAGAGAGATGAGGCAAACAGGAAAAAAGGCATCTGAAAAATTAACCATTTCAGAAAATAAGAAAAAGTAGAGTGATAAGGAAAGGCTTTCTGTCCGAAATCTCTCATAGGAAGAAACCAAAGGAAAAAAAAATTATTACAAAAGGAACAAATGGAGGAAGGAAAACACAAAAGACAAAGACTCGGGAACAAATGACCAAATTAATTGAAATATCTCCAATGACGATATGCAAAATTAAGCACGGTGAGGGTGGAGGATGTTTGTTCTCCGTTGGGGAAAGGAGAGACAAATAAATGGAAGGATGGAGGGATGCTGAAATAGATGGGTGTCTCTCTTCTCTGTTTTCAGGGTGAATAATTAGACCGGATGGTGAGAGGACAGAAATAAACTCCTCAGAAATAACACAAATCAGTCAATGGCTTGTTCTGAGTGATACGGAGAGAGGCTGAGGTCGGGGTTGGAAGGGCACTGATGTCCGTCGGGAAGAAATTGAGCAACCACAAGAAAGCGACAGTCTCTTTATGTAGCCTAATGAAGCTTGAATGTTTGTGCACGCCATATACAGTTCCCATGTTGTACAAAACTCAAGAAAATGGGCAAAATGCAAGAAAATGATAAGAATTGGTCAAATAAAGCGTGTCCACTTTACCATATTTTTATTTAGTCAATTATAATGCTTTTGGTGTTATTTAACATGTTAATACTCACTAAGCTCTCATCCCAGCTCCACTTTTTTAAAGCATATTTTATAAACTTTGTTCATGTTAGTTAATAAAAATGCAATTGTTCAATGCTCATTCATAGTGCATTCCTGTTAAGGTACAATTTTGGTTTTAAAACTTTATTAGTACCATACCATTCTTGGTATCAGTAAAAATGTTTTATTTTTTTAAATAAAATTGATAAACGTATTCAGCAAAGACAAATTAAATTGAACAAAAGTGGCGGTAAAGATGTTACAAAAAATGTTACAAAAAGTTCTAATTCAAATAAATTCTGTTTCTGGAATATTCTACTCAATTATCCTGAAAAAAGTATCAACAGTGAGAATAAATGTTACGAAACCAGTATATTAGAAAGATTTCTAAAGGATCATGTGACACTGAAAAATGGAGTAATGGCTGCTGAAAATTTGCTATCACATGAAAAAATTACATTTTAATTTAAAAATAGCCATTTTTATTTGTAATAATGTTTTATATTATTACAGTTTTACTGTATTTCTGATCAAGTAAATGCAGCCTTGACTACTCACAAAAACAAAGTGCAAACTTTTGAATGGTAGTGTGAATGCTAAAATGAACATGTTAAAAAAAATGTAAACGGTTACTGGTATCTGAAAACCCTAAATCACAAAAATATATATAAAAACGTCAAAGGGTGAAGAATTTGGCAACACACCCACAAATGTGCTAGCGAGAATGGCAATTGGCTACATGCAGAGCAATGATTAAAGGTCAAAGGTTACAGATGCTCCACCACCTTCCCTGATGTGCAGCAGTGATATCTGTACCTGCTCAGATACTTTCACACAAGCATGTCCACATATATGTTCCACACAGAGAGGGTGAGGAAACTCAAAGGGAAGAACAGATGCTGAGTAGCAAGACCTCACAGCCAGCAAATGTGACACTTAACCTTCCATCAGATTGAGCCCTTCAGATCCCCATCTTGCCTTCGGGAGGTTAGACGCATAGACAAAACGCCTGCACAAAGATCAGCTTTCCAGACCTCCCAGAAAACACCAGCCTCCGCAGGTCAGAGTGGAAGGACAGAAGCTATTCAGTCTCAAAACTCCACCAGCAGAGCATCTCGAGGAGAAAGAAACCCCTTCCACAAAAAGCATCTCACCAATAAGTGTTTAATAAGCATGTATGAATTATTAAAGGAATAGTTCTGACAAAATTGAAAATTCTGTCATCATTTACTCACCATTTTGTCTTTCAGTACCTCTATGGCTTTTTCATCCATGGAACACAAAACGAGTTAATTAAAGTAGAATTTTAGCTTTTTTCACAGTGAAAGTGAATGATGATTATGATTGTTAGGCGAGATTTCAAGGCAAGATTTTCAGTGAACAGCTTTTCAGTCTTTCAATGGCTTTAAAAGTAATAAAGTGAGTCATCTGAATCACTTTTATGGTGCTTTTTGGAGCTTCACAGCCCCTGGTCACCAACCACTTTCATTGTATGCATGAAAGCAGCTTGAACATTCAGCTAAACTTCTCCTTTGTTGTATAACAAAGGAAAAAAACACCTAACGGAACGTGAAAATTATGACAAATTTCATTTTTTAGGTGAACTGTTCCTTGAAATATTAGAGAACTGAACAAAATAGAGAGTGTTAGACTGGTGGTGCAACAGCGATCAGCTGCCACATTGTGGTTGTTATGTGGTCACAGATGGTGGCATAGTTGACAGGCCGAGGCCGACTGACACTTACCAGCGAGCAGGAAGGTGATGAGACATGTTTCTTTGGGCATGTAGAGCTTGAGTCTGGAGCCACTGAACACGTACTCCACCACAGCCTCCGAGCGGCCCGCTCTCTGCAGGAATGGCAAGAACTGTTTCGCCTTCTGTGTCTCCTGTGCAAGAATAGAGAGGAAGGAAGAAACATAAGTCAATAAAAACATCAGAGGTGTTTAAACGACATATGAAAACAAAAATTAGGGCAGTTCTATCATGACAACTCTCTGAAGAATTTAGCATGGTAATGGATTAGTGGTCGAACGATATATCGGAAAAACATATCTGCCGATATTTGAAAAATGGCAAATATCGGCAGATATGTTTTTCTGTTTGGCCGATGCATTCGAGGCGGGACTTTTATTTTGACGGCGCTGATAACGGCAGCGCCTGAGCACACAGTGCTCACATTCTCCCTCTTGTTCGCAGTCATGGTTAACAGTTCTGTCTAATACGGATAGAAGAAGTCTGTCTAATAATCAGATAGAACTGTTAAACAAAGGGATTAAAATGTATACAAAAAAGTATTATAACGATTGCTTTTATATTATTAGTAATAAAAAGGCAAACATTATAATAATTTCTCGTTTGCCATCAGCATTCAACAAAAACGCATTTATATCATTTAAACATCTTTAAATGGCTAATGAGCATTTAATTTCACAAAACTTGCAAACTTAGTTGAATCCAGTTGTGAGATCTTGTGAAGTGTGCATGCATATCCTGCATGATCGCGTGTTCTCTGCATGACTTTCGGTGCGATTTGAATGCTTTAAACCAGTGGTCACCAACCTTTTTAGGCCCAAGATCCCTGAACTTGGCCTTTATGAAAGACAAGATCTACCCATTGAAGAATTGATAGAAAAAGACATCCCAGATTGTACTTCAAATTTGAGGCCTTTTACTTAGTATTTTAATTAGTGATGCACCGATCATAGCTGATTCAGAATTCCGATTTTTTTTTCTTTCTTTCTTTTTTTTTTAACTAGCAAATTGGCTGATTCTGATACTGATATTTAAGCAAATGTATTTATTGGCTATTTGCTTTATAACAAACAAACTGGCTTCAAACAAAAATATCTAGCTGTTTGAAATTAGAGGCAACCACTGCATTTTAATCATGATCTGCACGGGCAGTTGTTTTTTATTTGAGTTAGATTAATTTCAGGATTTAAAACAAAAAAAGAATGGTCTGACTTTAGGTGTTATTTATTTATTTGCTACATAAAACATCTGCACGAAACAAAAACAACAGGGATGCGTTCAGCCCCGACAAAACGGTGCAAAACGTTTTTTAAACGGAAACGGTGGTGCGTTGAACACAATGTTCTGATGACGCAAGAGTTGCAACTATGCAACTATAAAACTCTGTCTGCTGCTGAAGCCGAACCCCGGGACCGCGGCCTCGCCTGTTATTGGGGTCGCTTCAACCCGCGGACATGGACAACAACCCGCGGTAACAGTGTTAAAGTAACGTTAGTCTAATTCCGCGGGAAAACCGCGGACTTGGCAACACTGCTTATGAACCGACCGCAATAGCGTTTCCTTGGTTACACCGCTGTAAACAAAGCAGA